GTAAAATTTTTATCATTTATTTTATACTATTACTTTATAATTCTTTGTGATAAAAACATAGGTTGAGTAAAGCAATTTTGTGATATAATAATATTTTAAAGCTAAATAATTACTATCATCTTGGGTTAGAAAAAGAAGTTTTTAATGGATAGAAAGATATACATATAATTTGGTTTTTATTATTTTTAAATTAAAGAAACTACTACTTGAGTTTTTTTTTAAAACAGTGGTTTATCAAATCTTTTATACGATTGAAATATATAATTTGATTAAAATGGACTTGTAGCTCCATGTTTGTAAGACTATAACTTGGCGCCAAGTATTGATATCAAATCTTTTATATAAATTTTACATCATCATTTGAGTTGGCAATATCCACTGTACTTGACACCCTTTTTTTACCTTTTTTTAAAAAAAAGATAATTTTTTTAAATAGATATCAAGGACAGATCGAATCATTAACATTAGCTAATACTACTCCTGAATCTTCCCTAAATCAACCTTTAGCATCTTCATCTAACTTTATTCCTCTTCTCCCTTCCCTCCCCCGACACAATGTCAATATCAACAGATTGCATTTAGTTATTCTCCCGTGCATCCATCCGATGCAGAATATCTCATCGACTTTTACGCCTTATCCCCAGGTTCTCTATTTCGAGATGGCGAACCTCTTTTTGAGGATTTAGAAGACAAGAAATCCCATCCTACTGATTTAATAACCCCACCTCCCGTGGAATATCAAGAATACTCTCCTTCTTAACCCTCATGCAATAAGCATGCGTCTTCAGTCATACCATACACGTATTATATACAATTTTTATAATTTTTCTTATTATATTTTTGTAATCTTGATTTGCTTATTATGTAATTACTAGTAAAGTTAACCAGAGAATATTAATTGTATTACCGGGTAGGATTAGAGAACAAAGATTCACTCATACATTCATACTCTCCCTCGTAAGAATCCTACCCTATTATCTATAATTAATTAAAATATTATATTATATATAAAAATAGTATTTTTTTAGTAATATTTTTTTAGTAGTAGTATTTTTAGCATCATGGTTTATAATGAACCACAAATTTAATTTGTAATACAGTTAAGAAGTATACATGAAAGAAGCCAGGCATCGGCACGCTTTTTAAACACAAAAAGACGCTTAACACCACAAAATGCATGATATTATTACAAAATTACCTTTTAAAAAAAAAGATGTCAAGTATAAGGGCGCGCTTGAAAAAAGAAGTGTTGTACCAAATTAAAAATAAAAATAAAACTAATTTAACTAATATACTACTATATACTACTTCCCTTTTATTTTAAAAATTAGAAACCTAAATAGTGCGTATTTTTATATCGAATGTGGTAATAGTTTTAACTCTTTAAAAAAACATAATATTACGAAATTGCCATACGTAGCTCAATCCTAGTTGTGATTAAATTAAAAAATAAAATCTAAGTTACAGTATCTTTTTAATCTTAGTATTTTTATTAAAGAGTTTACTTCTTTTAACCCAAGTGATACTAGCTTTAATTCTTAAAAAAAGATTTTGCATCCATATTGCCAACTCAACTGAATGATATCGATTGCGTTATTCTTTCTACTAAACCCAAGTGATACTAGTATTATTTGTATAAAAAATAAAATCTAACTGGAAACATCTTTTATTAAAAAAAAGAACCTAAATGGTACGTATCTTCATTGAAGAATCTTTTTACTCTAATTCATATAGTAGTTTTAATTTAAAAAAATTATGTTACGAAATTGCCATACTCAACTCAATCCTAGTTGTCAAATTAAAAAGTAAAATCTGTGATAGTCTTTGAAATCTTCGTATTTCCAATGAAGAGTTTTCTTATTCTAATCCAAGTATACTGGCTTTAATTCTTTAAAAAAGAATTTTATTTTAACATTACCAACTCAAATGATATCATTTGTATAAAAGATATTTTGATTTTGGCAACTCGCGAGGTCGCACAGAGATGACCTTTCGGTCGATGGGACGCGGCGTGTTACAGCCGAAGAATCCGAAGACACCAAACAATTAGGATCGCGGTACGCGACGCGGCACAGGACGAGATGACTTTCCCGTAATTAAAAACAGTCATTCTGTATATAAAGGCGAACATTTGCCTTTGGCACTCGAATACGAACTCTCATCTCAAGTAGGAGATCTGAGGAGTACATTTTTTTTAAAGGTAGAACAGCGTCCGAGTTGACTACCTATCCTTCGGCTGCAACACACCGTATCCTATCGATCAAAAGATCGGATTCTTCGGCTGTAACATGCCGCGTCCCGCCGATCGGAAGGTCGATTTCTTCGGCCGCAAAGGCTGCTTCCCGTCGACCGAAAGGTCGCCTCCTGCGGTCGACTGAAATAGTCGCCAGTCCGATGAGGCCACGGAACCTTGCAAAGCATATCTTTGCGAGAGATTTCCGGACAAACCCCCGATTCTCGGAAAATCCCACTTACGTCGAGACCATAGATAGACTAGATATCGTTTCAAGTGGTCATTGTATGGACGTCACCATATTGAAAATTAGACACTAGTATCTCTGGATTAAGGGACAGAAACTACTTACATATAACGTGAAGATAAGTTATCATCTTTTGTATTGTAAAATAACTTATTACAAAATTAATTACAAATTAATTATTACAGATTTAAATAACTCAAAAAATCAAACATATAATATTGTTACGTCCAACCCGAGGTAAATATATTTTTATATATATATTTTTTTTTTAAATTGGATAGAGCTTGGAAGGACGCTCCAAATACCCTCTCGCAAGTGGCCGCGCTGAGGCGTCCCTACGAGTCGGACACACTGTGCAGAGCCACGAGTGCGAGTCAACGTTTTGAAAAAGACGCTATGACGCTTCGACTGCGTGACGTGCGTCCATCGTCCGTAATTTAGGCAAGAGAATTTAATCTCTTTTGTCAGGGACAGGACCATGCGCGAATCTTGATAACGAGGAATGAAAGAGGGAGCAAATAACTAAACGATAAATAATTTAGATTTTACAATGTAATTAATAATTTTAAAACGATTACAGGGTTAGGTAGCTACAAGATCGTATCATTATTTTTTTTTGCGTTGAGATATATTTACTGACGATATATTTACAAAAATATAAAATAAGAAGGGTGTTACATACAGAAATTCGTGTGTTCTAAAAATTGACGGATGTATTGTTTGATTTTCTGTGTATAATTCTATTAATCTATCAGTTTAGTATTTTTAATTTGTTATTAATCTATTTTAAATTGTATGTTGTTGACTGTGTGTGGTTGTTCTGAGAGGAGGTCGGGTTTTCGCTAGTGAGGTCTAGGGGAGGAGGGGAAGGAGTCCGTAGTTCACAGAACTCGTCCAAGGATTTCTGGGTGCAGAAATCTGGGTATATCTGGAGGTCATGGCGCTCTGGGAAGGGTACATTGAAATCTGGGGGTGATCCAGATTCAGCTGGTTTGATCGGGGAATAGGATGGAGGAGATATGTGTAAATAATGGGATCTCCTGCTGGAACAACTTGTGGTTTCTTGATGTGTTAAAATCTCGGATGTCCTAGGCGAAGGATAGTTCTCCGTTTGACGAGCTCGCTTGTTCCGATGGTAACGGAGCCTCTTCAGGGCTCGCCTCTGTCTTTGAGCGTCGGAGAGTGTGGATGATGCAGCTTTCACTAAAAGAAATGGATTTGGAATATGAAGGAAATGTTATTAGTCGCGAACCTTAAGGCTATCGCTGAAATATTTCAGGAAACCGAGAGATCCGAGAGGAGAGAAATTAAAAAGGGAAAGAGAAAATTGTAAGAGAGGAGAGAAAAAGGAAAAGAATAGATTTCCCGAATTACTCGGCAGCCATGAACCTGCTGAGTGCTCCGCAACGCATAGGGAGCCCGAGAGGTTCAACAACTGAAGCCAACAGAGAAGAAGCAGATTTTGCCGAACTATTCGGCGGCCATGAACCTGCTGAGTGCTCCGCAACGCATAGGGAGCCCGAGAGGTCCGACGGCCCAAGCAAAGAAAGAAAGAGAAAAGAAAAAGAAAAAGGGAGTAGAAGTGTCAGGAGAACGGCAGAGGATAGAAAGGATGTAAGGGAGGAATGAGAAAGTATAAGGAGAAGAGACCCGAAAACTATTATTAGGGAATTTTTTATATACAATTAAACTTACTTTTACTCTGGAGACTTGAGACCTGCGAGATGAAGGCGGTAATGGTGTCGTCAGGAAACTTGATCACTTGTACTTGTTGATTATTTTCGACTGACACCGACTGAATTATTGACAAACTGAGTTATCGACAAACTGATAAACTGAAAATGTTCCGACCGTGTAAAAAAAGGACGTAGCAGAGAGTGTGTGTTCCGTGCCTTTAAGGGCACTATATATATATGATTTCGTTGAGGAAAACATCTGTA